ACCACTGCTACCCCTGCACTGGATGGTCCATGGACCTCAGCCAGCACCTTTCTGTAACAGTCCTTATTTTCTTTCAGGAGTTGAATAGTGGTTACTGCATGGCCAGGACTACCCAAACCTCCAAAGACAAAGGCACCCAGCAGACACTCAGAAGGTATTTTGGTCAGGGGGGTCAGAAGAAGGTGCCAACATTGCTGTCAGATCCTGGGAGAGGGACAGTGACTGTACTGCTGGCACACACCACACAGTCCAGCCTTGACACTGGGGAGGACTTTGGAGGAGTTCAGAAGCAGAAAATTTAGGAAGAGTAAGGGGAAAAAACACAAATAGGAGACAAAAAGAAAATGAGAGAATGAAAAAAACCCCCTATACTGTGTAAAATTTGCACATGAACCATATTAATGCTCATTTAGAGGCACATTATGAGCAAGCAGTGCTTGTTATTAACACCATCATCCTAGGACCACTTTGCACATCTGTGTTTTCCATTAACACCAAGCAGCAGCCTCTGGAGCACATGTTGTTCTGTGTGCATCTACCCTGTGACTGTGAACACCAAAACTGTTACACAGATATGGGGAATAATTCCCTAGATAAGCTGTGCCTATATTCACAAATAAAATATGCAGCCACACCAGTGTGCACACAGAAAACACTCGATTTGTGTGAGCAAAACAAGAGCTCAAGGCAGGTCAGTACTGCAGAGACCAAGCTCTGAACTGGCAACAGCAATCCATCAGGACCTGTCGCCGCCAAAAGACAGTGTAACAACCTTGCAACATGAGCCACATCCTAATTTTTGTTTGGGCTGGTTTCACAGTCTTCCTTGAGATTCTCATCAGTGAATCCAGAATATAACTTGGACAAGAACATGCTTATTCTGACCATTGAATGCATTGTTTAGGGAAATTCAGGTGCAACTAAGCCTCATAAACTATCACTACCTCCTTCTGAAAAGAGTCTCCTAGCAAGCTAAAAATTGCATGAGTAGCAGAGTTATTTTCCTAATAAAGTTTTAATGTGTTTCATTTTTGCAATATTGATACAAAGGAAACTCTCACACATACAAATGGAAATTTCAAGTGACAAATGACAGCTGATTATCAGCAGTTAGCTTCTAAAGCACAACCTGATTGCAAAAAGTAGAAATGTTAGCATTCTTTTAAGAAGACACTAAAGCTTATTAAACCAATTCCCCATTGCCTCAGCAATTCTCTGTTTCAGTAGAGTGATATTTTTTCCTGGGATAACAGTATCCATAGCAATTTTATGGGTGGGGTTCATATCAAGGACATGTGCTGCTAGCTGGAAAATTGCATTTAATCTCTGCTTTTCCTTACCTCTTTTCAGGTTTTAATTTCTCCTAAGTTTAAAGACACTTTCATTAAAGAAATTATTTCCTTTCTTTGGGAGGCTGAATCAGAAGGCACTAAAATCAGTGAGAGCCTTTCCATTAATTTAGGGGAGCTTTACATTGGACTTTCAATTAGAAACAGCTAAGTGTAGAAGTATAAAGAAACCAAAGATAAAGGAGAGCAGAGCAGGAGGTGGAAATGTTTCATGAACATTTACAAACCTCTAAGGTTTCATTTGGCTTTATGTTAAATTTAGGTCAAAGGTTTGGGTCAGCTTTTGTTCTCCTCAGCCCCCGTTTGCTCTGATCTTCTGTTCCAGAGTGGGATCTTGACAGGTGCACTGTGAAAAGGGAAAAATTGGCTTGAAAAGCTGGACTCCAGTCCTGCTAGAGGCAGAATGATGAGGCAACTGCTTTGCAGCTTGTTTCATGTCAGAGGGAACACAACTGGCTCACAGCACTGGACTGAGCACTGAAGATATTTAAAAGAAATGTCATGAGAGGGACACATGAGAATTAATGCTCCTGCTTGGCATCTCCTGCAGTCACCTCAGTGGTGACAAACCCTCGAGTTTTGGGGCTCTGCCAGGCCCTGAGGCAGGGGCATTGACTGTGTTTGCCACTTGTGGAACTTGAGGACAGTGTTTTGTTGACCAGTGGCAAAACACCAAGTCTCCCACAGGGAGATGGATCACTCATCCTCCAAAGGTCACAGGTCACCAGGGTGGCAAAACCATTGTCCCCAGCAGCCTTTGCCTGGCATTGACAAGAGAAGAGTGAGGAACAAGAGGAGGATTTTGGCGCTTATGACACAGAGATACGAATAAGGCAATTACATAAGGATTGTAGAGATAGTATCTTCAGGTTAATTTTATTGTGGTTTTTATAATTTCTAGATGATATTGTGGGAGAATCTGAACAGCTTCATGACATGTCTTCTAGCTAATTTTGAAGGGAAGTAAAAGTTGAAAACAATTACTGAATTTTACTGAATTATGTTAATCAACTGGATAAATTTAGAGGAGGGGGGCAGGGGGCAAAGGGCAGCTGATGTATGGAAAGACAAGAAGGCTGTTAGGAGAAGAAGTGATAAAATCACTAGCCCTGGGGGACAGCAGCAGGAAAAGCAGGCTGCTTTTAGCCCCAGAGCACTAAATGTTCTGTCACAACACAATTCCTTCTGCTTCATCTCCAGCTTCCTGCCCGGGCTCCCTCCATCCCCACCTCAGTCACAGCAGCACGAGGGTTTGCAAGGCCCCTCTAACCCAGAGCATTAATACTCAAGTTAACACAAAAACCTCCTGCACTGCTCGGGTACAGCATCACTGGATGGGCTGGCACTTCACACACATTTTGGCTCAGATTCACTGTTTAGTTCAGGCATTTAACCACAGACTAAGTCTGTAATTCCCTTAAAATCCTTCTCCAGTAAGCAGAGAGAGGTGGGCACTCCCAGGGGCAATCCCTGCCTGCTGCTGTAGGATCATTTCTGTCCCTGGTCAGGGAGCACAGAGGGAGCTGAGGCTCAGGGCACCCTGCCCAGCTCAGGACAGACCCTCAGCCGCCAGGCAAACCCTCCCTTCCTCTCTGCTGCAGGGAACACGACGTGGCCACAGAAGAATAGGGACAAAAATAGGTTTCTGACCTACTTCTTGGCAGCAGGCAGCTCTGAGAGTGGCTGCTGGAACCGAGGGGGAATAGATCATAACCACACAAATCGCACGGATGTGTTGGTGAGCTGGGAATGACATTGCCTCTCCATGCTGGCTTTTCCAGCTTTCCTGTTGAAGCCTTTTCTCTCTGTTTTTCACCGTTCTTGACACACAGACCTGGATAACTTTTTCCCCTTTAATTTCTGTTGATATCACATTTTCTTCTGTGTTTATGTGAAACAATATTACTTTCCATGGTTTTGAAATCAGTTCAGGACACCGTTGTTGTCTCACAGCATTTTGGAAACAGCATTTAGGAAACATTTTCAGCCATGAATATTTGAAGATTATTATATTTAAATCACTTCCAAATATGAGATTTTTTGCTTCTTGAGGGAATTGTGCTGTAATACGTAAATCCTTTTTATTAATTTTTTTCCCTTTCTAATTTAAATTCAGACATACTGTGGATTTATATTATTGCTTTTCATCAATAGCAAGTACTTTCCATACTAGCAGGCTCTCAGTGGTGTCTCCACTGAACAACAGAAAATGTCTATTCCTTGGGGGAGTTTTCTCTAGATAATTTTTTTTATTTCTAGTCTATGTTTTTAATTATCAATATTCTCTAGTGTTTCATCTTCCACAGAAACTTCCAATATTTTTAGGACATCTTCTCAGACCCCCTAATTGTTTCCTTGTGGAGATTGAACCGGATCCATGGGATGGTCAGCCTTAAATACCTAACACTTTTTACTCTTGTTTTCTCCCATGGGATGGTTTATATCAGGTTGGCTGAAAACCTGCTCTAACAGAGACTGGATGCTCTATGCTACACACATCTAAGCAGTCCCATTGTAATCACTTGGTAAGATGAAATAATTTCAAAGCAAACATTTCCTTTGTGCCATGTAAATAACATTTTCATTACTCATTTCAACTGGCTAAACAGCAAAACCAAAGTTTTTTTCTTAATAAAAAGAGAATGGTCTTAAAGCAAACACCACAAAGAGAAAAGTTGCTGGAAATTTCCTTTCTGGGAAGGGATGCAACAGAACTGGAGTTTTATCCTTGGGTCACCAATACCTATGGTAAACCAGGGGACTATCTTTGAAAAAAATTAAAACTCTCCTGAGAAAAATAACACATTATTCCTGCTGACTGATTCCAAAGATAAAACTGCAGTTTTACCCAACATGTCTCATCTGGTCTCTGTTCATTCTTGGGAAGGTGCATTTCTTTCAGAGTGAGCCCGTTTGCTGTCACATCCTCCCATCAGCTGAACCCTGAGAGGTTTCTCTCTGTGGTGCTGCCAGGATGCTCCTTATGCCCCTTCTGAAAACACTGGACAGGTCTCAGCTCACTCTTCAAGATACTTTCAGTTCCATTTGCACAGAGCACTCCTTTTCCATTGCAGGAAATCAGGGAATGAGGACTCAGCCCTCCCTTTGCCTGAGAATCACAATTCTTGGGCTTCCTGTAGACATGGCTGTTAAGGGTACACTCAAAAGACCCCAATGCATCCTCAGAACAGTTCCTGAGCTTGCTTAGCTTTAAAAACATAATATTGTCACTGTTGTTGATGCCATTTAGACTTAGATTTAACACACCTGTACACATACTCACACTTCAGAGGTTTGGGAGAATTAAATGTGAATGGCTATTGATGAAACTCAAACACTCTGTGCTGGTGCTGGAATTCAGAGCCAGCTTTCTGGGATTAGGTGTCCCTGACTAACCTCAGCTGTTAGAAATTATTTGGAGCTTGGCCCTGGCAGGTGAGGGGTCACTGTGAGGAGGAGAACAAAAGCTTTTCTTCTCTCTTCTGCCCCTGCCTCCCCCCTCTGCAATATTGGGGAAATGTGGTTTTAATTCAGAAATACAAATGTCATCTTCAAAGTCACTCTGAGAAGGAAGGGTGGGGGAAAGGGAGACAAAAAACAAAACAAAACAAAAACCAACCAAACAATTGGATAGCAATTTGTCAAGATTTTTTTAACTGTGAAATTGCACTGGAAAGCCTTAACAGCCAACTGATGAGCCAGTGGGGGAGAAAGAGACTGGGAGTGCTGGAGTTAGTCTGGAGTGCATTTGAAATGCAATGAGCTTTCTTACTGTCCCAAACAGCATCTAATATTTTGCTTTCTTCAAGGCCTGCCCTTCTCTGATGTAAAGAATCCTGTGATCCCATGCCACCAGGAGTCTAGGGAAAACAGCTTCACCTTACATGCTGCAAAACTGTCACCAAAAGTAGTTTGGGAGCATTAAGTAGTAGGGAAACATTTTTTCCCCCACCTTGTGCTTTTGGAAGTCTCCACAGGCTGGGAGGTATTTCTGTTTCAGGTTGTGACAGCAATGGCTGCATACATGCTACAGCTCTGACAGCAGATGTGAATAATGGAAAAGGGCTCTGAACACGAGAAGTCACTCTGAGTGCTTGCTGTACTTTCTTAATGTGTGTGACATTGACATAATATGCCCCAGGGCTTTCTGGATCGGATGGTGTTTGCCTGTTCCACGTGCTGGTTTTTATGAACAGCAATCAAGCTGTAAACATGTAGGCACTTGGAACACATGTAGGCAGCGTGTGTGGTGAGTGGCTTCCCGCGCTGTCCATGGGTGGGAAGCACAGAGCTGAGGTCAGGGCAGCAGAAACAACGTTTTGCCATCAGAGGAGAGGACTCCTGCTCCCTGGCAGGGCTCATGGTGGGTGGTCTGGATGGTGGTGGTGCTACATCATGGTGTTGTCTGATTGTATGGCACACACAGCACCTGGAAACAGCTTTTGTGATGCACAGAAGCTCAACCAGATACATCTCACAGGAGCTGATGTGTGAGCTGGATGTGCTCCTCACCAATGTAAGAAATTAAAGCCTTCATTTCCAAGCACAGAGGCTGAGTAGCAGGGTCACAGCTCAGCAGATGGCCAGTCCAAGCCCCTCTTCCTCAGTCTGTGAGGCAGTGGCCCATCAATCAGATCCATGTTTCACAGAGCTGCATTAGTCAGTCAGCAGCACTGAGAATCCTGTTCCCCCCTCCCACATCCCCATCCTTCAGAAGGAAAAGTCTGTTTCTACAGGGACTGAAAGCAGGATTAATCCCTCTCTGATTTCCTCCTCTAACTCCTCCCTGACACCCCATTACAGCTTTCATCCTATCTGGGCTATTTAGTCTAGAGCAGGGAAGACAGAGAGGAGACATGATAACAGTCGTCAATTATATAAATGGCTTATGCAAAGAGGAAGGCAATAAATTGTTATCCACATCCACAGGAAAAGCACAAAAAAAGTAATGGGTTTAAATGCAGCAAGGGAGACCTGAGTTCAGAGCTAGAATAACTTCCCTGCTGCAAGGGTCATTGGGCACTGGAGGGGATTGCCTGGGCAGGCTGGGGGATCTCCACGGCTGACAGAGTTAAAAAAACACTTCAGGCAAATGGATCAGGAGTGGTTTGTGTGGGGGTAGGTGAGGTGGCCTCTTGAGGTTCTTTCTGTTTTCTTCTATACCACGGTGGCAACTATTCCAGCCTCACTCCTTGGCAGGCAACCATGACAAAACTCCACTCCTGTGTTTTTTGGTGCAAGTTGGCAAACTTGTGGCAGCAACACAATTGGGTCAAGGAACTGATGAAGCCAGCAGACAGATCTCTCAGCACACAACAGCCAGAGCTGTAAAGTCCTGCAGCACCCAGTTATTCTGCCTAACCCTAAATAATTAATTTTCTCATTAAGCAAGAGAAAGTCAAGTTCCTAAGAGCTCATCAGCTCTGCGGAGGACAAGGGTTCACACTCACAAACACTGATTCCAAAGCAGCCACCCCACCAGTGAGACAAAGAGAGTTACTTTGCCCTGAGCAAGACTGCCAGATACCTTGGAGTGCGTTCATGTTGGCAACTGGTACAGCCTCACCCTGCACAGCCCTTGCAAAAAGGAGCATCCCTGGAGATGCTCTGCTCTGAAATGCACTTCTCACCAAATTGCACTAAAAATGGGATGGATCCTATGTTTACATAAGCATATCCTTAAGTGAATTGCTGGACTGGGGCCTTACCCAGCTATACTTCAGGCTCCTGCAGGTCAGTAGGGATGGATTACTTTCTCTGCATGACCTGGGCACTGAAAGACTACATGTGTCAGAATGGGGATATTTTCCAGCATAAAATTTTTCTAGTTTTAGATATCCTAGGCAGAAAAGATGGCCAATAACAACAAAAGCAGAAGGCAGTCTCTCCTTCTAAAAGAAAGGTGTGAGTGAACCCTAACAGATGTAATTTGTATCATTACTGTTGATGAATTTAGCAACCTTTAGCAAGGAGACATGATCAATAGCTACTTGAGAAGATACAGCTGCAGATATCCAAATGGAGATGAACAAGGAAGAGAGGTGTAAAGGCAATAGCTGAAAATTTAAACCAGATGAAAGTTGTAAGGTAGGTTATTGACCTTGAAAGAACCAGGTAAGTAAAAAAAGTAGAGAAGGGCAACAATGATTTATGCACTTAGCCTGCACAAATATTAGAATGGCTTATTCAAGAGTGTAGTAAATTATGAACAAAGTAGAGCTTTATTAGATTAATGACAGAGGAGTTCATATAGAAAGGCTGGCATCTTTGGAAAGTGGGTAAGAGAAATTAATTTTAACTCCCTTGTTTCCAGGTTTGAACACTCCCTTTTCTGCCATGCAGGTATCTGTCTTACACTTGGTAATTACATATCTGTTTCCAGATCCTTTGTGACAACAGTAAAACTCAATGTATGGAAAGCAACTGGACACCAGGAAGGGGCACCCATGCAGACAGGGGTGGTAAGTGCTAAAAGCCTTAACAAAGATGATAAAAGCTAAAAGCAGTTCAACAAGAACCTGTTTTTAACACTGCAGAAAGAGGTGGGAGTTTTGGAATTGACCAAGAGGCTCTCAGATTTTTATCACAATTACTGTGGTGATGTCCAGAATCCCTAGACTTGGATCACACGTGCTGATGTCCCTAAAAAAGACAAAAGATGATTACCACCTCCCACAGGTTTTTAATCAAAGTAGGTTAAAGTTTGGTACAGAAGCAAGGGACCACAGCATGAAGTGGTTCATGTGTGGTTGTGCAGAAAGTTGGGCCAGTACCTCCATATTCCATTTCCCACCCAAATGCCTAATCTAGACTAAAGGAAAGAACATTTCTGTCTGCAAGAGCAAACTTTTTAAACTGGCTTAAAGGATTCTTTTTAAGAAACGCCCCCCTACCCCCAGAAAACCAAACCAAACCCCCCCAAAAAAAACCAAAACAAAAAAACCCCACCACAATAACAATAAAAAACCCAAACCAAATCAACAAACAAACCCCCAAAGCAAACAAAAAAAAAAAAGGGAGAAAAAAATCCACTCAAAACAGTTTTTAATGTATGTAGTTTGGTTTGCATAATATGTGTGTTAATCCTAACCTGTTTATACCAGTGGAAGGGACAAATCAGTCATCACAGTACTCGTAATTGAACATGGAAATATATCTGTAATCATATCAAGTCCCAGCAGTGACTAACAACTTCTTGGACCATTGCCATCAACAAAAGAACGAATTCCACGGAGAAAATGTTCAGAGGCACAGTTTGCACCACTTAATCAGGGCATGGTCAACTGCATTACTGGGACACACCAGCCTGCTAATCATTAAGGTCTGTGGCTGCCTTTTGCTGCAGAAGGAGTTAGTGGCTGTGCTCTCCTCCATCCCAGAGAATGCACTTGATGAGGTCAGTGGTTGAGTTCTTACCTCCATCCTCAGGGTCAGGCCTAAGGGGCTGGCACAGTGCTGCTCATTATTCACCACTTGCCATGTACAGGTGACCTGAAAACCTGACCCACAGCCCAGTAAGTCCCCTTTGGCTTTCTCTGTGTTCCAAATCAAGCCTCAAGAGAACAATTAGAATGAATGAGCTCAAATAAAAATGACTTTTTGGGAGTGTATTTATGATCAGTTTTGCATGCTGCCCTTTGCTCCCTTGCAAAACCCCTGGCTCAGGTGTAATGCAGCTGAAGAAAGTTCTAGGTAGGAGAGGATTGCATGTTAATAGGCATGCACAAACAATCTTCTTAGAGGGGAAAAAAATAACAATGGCTGAGAAATAAAAACTATTCAACAGCATCATCACCCACAGAGAATAAATTTCCCAGGTAGGATACTGCAGGTACAGCTATTATGGGAACATGAATCTTCAACTAACTTACATTATTATATTTTCCCTTCCTTGTAAGGTTTGTTAAAAAAGTAGGCTATGCTAATAAACCTCCCTGATTTGTCTCCCTTGAAGTTTTGTATGAGCAAAGTAACTCATTGTATTTGAACTTCATAATTCACTTGTAATGATTTTTAGTTATATTCTCTTCAACCCTCAGTGGACAGCTAATGAATTTAAGAAAATGTATAGTCTCCTTGAATTACCTACTGTAGTTTCTCACCATCATTAGCTTGAGCTTAGTTTGCAGCTACACTCTAAAAATCATCATTAAAACTTATCTCAAAGCAGGTGTAATCTGGACAGAGGTTTCCCCCGTGATTTCCTACTTCTGTGTTGGTCAAGATCTCATCTTGTGCCATTCAAGGCTGGAGGATGAAGTATTTGTGTTCCCCCATCTGCAAGAATCAAAGGATAAATATGTATTTATTGGTCCACAATAGCTGCCATCCTGTGATGAGATAATTAGGTATCTGCAGGGAGGGTTATCCCATGGGGCTTGGGGTGTACAATTTGAATTAGGCTGGAAAGGCAAGGGCCAGGATGGAGCCTGCTGCTTCTGCACAAACGCTCCTTTGCCCCAAGAAAGTGCCAAAAGGAGGCCCAAGGAAAAGGAGAACAGCTCCCTTCACTCCATCCTGTCTCCCTGCACCTTCACAAGCAGTGGGAAGCAGTGGCTGCCCAGCTTCACCCCCACACCTGCAAACCTTCCATGGCCTCATTTCCTCCCTCCTCCACATCCTCCCACAGAAATGGGTTTATTTGTTAAACAGAGACTGGCTTCTTTTGGTGAAGTATTTTAAGATGGTCTGTGTGTGTATATGAAAATGGGAGACTTATTTTCCTAAAGAATCTGCATTTTCTAAAGGTTACAGGAAACTATTTTTAAAGGAAATTCATAACTATTTTTGAAAATTTTTTTTACACTTATGGTCTCTTCCTTGCAAGGAAGTCTCCTTCACATTTCTCCATGAGACATTCAACATGTGCACTCATTTTCTGTTTAAAATAAGGAAAAGATCCAAACCCCATAGATATTAATAGAAATAAAGCTTTTTGTCCTGATGCTGCAGAAAGCTTTCACAACAGTGAAATGCAGAGTTAAAAAACACCAATATGAAAAAAAGTCTTTGGAATCCATCACAGTGAAATACACTAGTCAATACCACCTTAACACAAGACATTAAAAACACCACAGTAACACCTGCCTGTGAAATACTTGGTTCTTATGAAGTTGTTCCTTGAGAAAATGGTCCCATAGAACTTTTTAACTCTACTTAATCAGCACAAAACAAATCAAAGAAGATGACTCTCATTTCCTTTTCTAAATGAAAAATGTCCATTTCATAAGGGAAAGGTCAGCTGTTAGGCAGAGTGTTGGTGCACTTTAGGGAACCTGAAAACTGCACCTGGACTTCCTCACATCCTAAATATTTCCCTCCTTCAGTTTGGCTGAGAATTGCTGTTTAAAACAGCAGTTTTCTTCTTCCTGGTCCCTTCATTATTCTGATGGTTGTGTCTTTGTTAGAATTTACTCTTCGTGTAATATTTTCTGGATAAAATACAATAAATTCTGTTTTATGTCCTAATACCAGCTAGACAGCTATAGAAGTGTTAAATAGCTACAGTGACATGTCTAATAAATAGCCATCTAACCACATTATAAATAACCTCAAATTCAGCCTAATAAATATTGCAATAAATCTGTGTTTGCCAGTACATCTGTATAAATATCAGTAATAAGACAGACCAGAAAGGCTAACCATCCTAAAGAGCTTTGATTTTGGAAAAAGGCAATACTTCATTCTTCTTAGAGGAGAAAAAAAACAACAACCCAAACAAAAAAAGAAAAAAAAATTGTTTAGCAAACAATATAGTGTTGGGAAAGGAAGAGATTGTTCAACAACCTGCAATTTATTTAGATGGCAAAAACTGAGACATGCAAAGTAGGGCATGTCTAGCTGAACATCAGTGGCAGTTGCACAACATTTGCATGCATTAAAAAGCAATAACTTTGCAGTTATTACCTAACTCCTACTGCCAATACAATTACCAGCAGCTGGAAACATCTACTGAACAAGACACACAGGTCTTTTTCTTCCAGATTGCAATCCTGTTCCGACTGCCAAAAGTTTTGAAAAATATTCCAAGTATTTGGCTGACTCTTTAGTAGCCTCATCAGCATTTTTTCACCTACCACCCACATTTTGCCATCCTCTGGATGACAGAAGGCAGGAGCATCTCAGCTGGAAGAGGCTGGTGTGGCCCTGGAAGGAAGGAGAGGTCTGTCCCCACCTCCCACACCTTGGTGTGTGCATCACCAAGCCTTACCTAGAGCCACTGACACCCTGTGACACCAGACAGGGCTTGGGCTCCTCATCTCTGCTCCACCTCCTAGAAAAACAGTCTAGCATTTCCACTGCTCAGACTTGGATATCTTTAAGGTTCCTTCCTGGCTTTGCTTTGTCATTAACCAAAAAAACCATTCACTCGTGTCAGCAGTGATGACAATACCTGCCACAGTTCTGTGTTTATTTCAGTCTATTTAGTTTTGTTTATTCCGGTGTGTTTAGGTTTTATTTCTATTTATAAGCTCAGGAAAAAAAAAAAAAAAATCCACTCAGGGCAAGCTTTTAATACGACTGTTCATTCTTCATTCCCTATTTATATCCTTCTGGAGCTCTGTGATCAGAAGATAGTACTACCAGCTGCCCCTGGTGTAAGTTTGCTCATAACAAAAAAAATCAAGTTACACAATAGCTCTACCATTACACAAAGGATGTGCAAAAACATCTGCATAATCTAATATTTTCCACAGGGTCAGACTAATGGGTCATGTACTCTGCATTTGTTTCTAAAGGCTCAGTTTTGGAAAGGGCTGTGGAAGCACACAAATTACGAGAAAAAGAGAGTACTTCTGCATTCAACTTCAGTGATCAGTGGTAGCATCCCAGGGAAGTGGTCACAGCCCCAAGCCTGGCAGAGTTCAGGAAGTGTTTGGACAATTCTGTCAGGCACTCTGAGAGCACTCTGGTGTGTCTCTTGGGATGTCCAGTGCAGGGTAAGAGCTGGACTCGGTGATCCTTGTGTATTCCTTCCAAATCAGCATACTCTGTGATGTGCATTGAAGGTATGAAAGGTTTTCTACGGAAATCTACATTTTTGGCAAAGAACTGCAGATGTGAAAACAGCAATTTACTGTGAGTCTATGAGCCATGTCAGGAACCCGTCATACATGCCTACACCCAAGCATGGTTAGCTTGTCTTCTGCTCCTGGGGACCCACAGAAAGCCTGGAGCTCCTGTACTGACTGGCAGGATTTCCCAGGAGCTGATGCAGCAAGAGACCAAACTCTGCTCTCAGAGGTGATCACTCTTTCCATTCCATCCATGGTCGTCCTTAGACTGCCCCACTCTTTCCCCACAGGGGTCTGCATCTCCCACCTCCATAGATGTCTCAGCATGGAAGGAACAGCCTGGAACCTCCTCAGATTCTGTGTGGTGCCATCAAAATCCACTCCATCTTCTCCAGTGAGGGCTGCTCTTCTGCCTGAGGAGAAACATGGCAAATGCAGAGGTGCTGATCACATAGCATGGTTCTCTCCAGGTGGGATCTCAGCTCTTGATTTTATAAATAACTAAATACAGCACAGACCATACTGACAGAGTGTCCTGCTCTATTCATGAGACAGAAAGGCTCTCAGAAGAGCACAGGACAGGCACATCGAAGCAGAAATGTGTGTGGGTACAGAAGGCCCATTTTCCCTCAACTGCTTTAAATCACAGTCTCATTACAGGCAGAGGGTAGATGGAGGGAAGAATGAGCCTCAATTAATAGGTCAAGGGTTGGAACATATCTAATTATAAACCCATTTACCCCTAGCCTAAACATCTTAATCTTAGCCCCAAAATATACAAGTCTGCGTGGAGCGACACAAAGCAGGGATCCCCCATGCAGGGACTTGCCAGCCCCTGTGTCTCTTTTGGTTATCACAGCTTATTTTTTGGAGATTGAGACTCCAGAGGCTGTGGAGCAGCAAGGCACCATGAAGAGTACAGTGATTTGTGACTTCAAGGATGAGGGGCACCTTTTCAACGATACCACTCTGTCTGTCTCCACATGATGTACTGCAAAGGTTAATTTGTTTTGAAATCCCCATTTTCAATTTGCATCACTGATCCACCTAGCAATTATAAATGTTAATCTATTCTTCAGTAGCCTTAAATTCAGAGATTGAGACTGTTAAACTAAAAAAAAAGTCCATCCCTTGCTCTGATTTATTAAAATTTGAGTGATATAGAGAACCCGCTGAGTCAGAGCACTGATAGGAGCATGCTTTCAAAGCATGTCCTTAATTAATTTTAAAGCAGGATGGACCAATTTATATCACCTTGATTTAAATCAGTTTTGTTAATTGTGATTTAAATCACAATTTAAATAATTTAATTTGCCTTGCAGTTGTGCTTTCTAGCAGATATTCATGACAAAAAAGTTATTCCCAGAGACTGACAACAAATAAAAATGCTTAATTACAAAGAAAGGTAGCTCTGAGCTGGTGTTTAGTATTTGTTTTTGTTAACTAAGAGAATACACGAATATCACACGTCACTATATATCTAAGCATTTATTTTGGGGTTGGATTTTTATGTTTGATTTATGAGAAAACAGGACATGGGGTTTTTAGTCACCTGATTCAGTTTTTAATGTGTGCTTTGTGTCATGCTGCTTCTGAACAAAAGTATCCAGAAGAACATAATTGTTTAAATGGAACTACATTGTGTCCTGCATATTATAGGAAATATTATCAAAATATTCCTTGCATTTCAAGGCAGCTGGTGTACTAAACAGTGCAAATATCAACAGCAATAAATCAGCTGAGGTATTTTTTCCTTGCTTCCCGGTTCTTCAAGATTAGAATTAGTTTATCTCAGATCTTCCCTTCCCCCCACCCACCTTTTACTCATAAAATGGGAAAAAGATAAGCAAATTTTCCTGTTCTTTCAACTACCACTTTTTTTCCTAACTTGGAATACTCTAGTCATTAAGTGATGTAAAGCATATAAAACAAAAAGAAACAAATGTTCTTTTTGCACCTGCAAAAAATGACTGCAGCTGTCACAAGCTAGTTTATTACTCAAGAAATTCAATTCCAGGTGTCTAGTTAGTAATTTCTCCCCTTTAGTGATTTGACATTCTTCAAAATTTTGGCAATGAATATATACTCAGTTGTTATTAATAAGAAAATACAATTTTATTTTAGGCATTCATAACAAACTTAGGTTGTCATCATTCCAGGATGCATGACTTCAAGTGTTATTTTCAGAAGGCAAAAATATTAATTTAAAAATTCAAAGATGAATGAATGTGTGTTGTAAAATCACACACAGATTTCTTGGCACTAAGGAACCACAGAAAAAAGGACAAGAATGTGACTGGACTAATTGCCATCTATTTTAAAATACATAAATACTATAAAAACACAGTAGATTTTTATTTTCTAGAGGATTTTTCTCCTGCTCTCAACTAAGTACAATTTTTACCGCTTGTACCTGGACAGAGATTCTTCATTTCCCCACAAGGAAAATGCTGGGCAATGAACTCTCCCCACACCATAATTTCTCACACAACATGACAGAAAAGGCACAGCTCTAAAATCAGGGTGTCATTTCTTAATCCAAATACTTATTCTCAATTCTATCTAAACCTCTACCTGACTAGAAATTAGTTAACTGAGTTCATATGGCTAAGCGAGCTTTCCTACTCAATTACTTGATGCAAGTTTAGAGCACAGTTTCTTAGGCAATGACTTGTTTCAGTGGACTCAATCTAAAGGCTGGACACTGTTATTTTGGCAGTATTTTCCATATGAATCCCATTCCCATCCCCATCAGCAGGGCAGGGCATCAACTCTGACTCCTCAGGCAGGCTGGCAGGACTGGGGTCTGCAAACTTCCAGCTCTGGGCAGCAGCACCAGAGCACTCACAATGCCTTTTGGTAATAATTTTACCTCAGACTGTTCTTGCTATTTGGCACAAGGAAATCATGTTCTGTGGGCCAAAAAATCTGTGGTGCTACAGAGATCACATAAGAGATGTCCAGACTGCAGTCTGCAATGGGGGTTTACATTAAGTCCTTCATAGCATAGTCAGACCCTAGAACATGCAGCCTTATACCCATTTTCAATCAGTTTTCTGAAATATGAGACATTTGTTTTAATTTCTGCATGAGGTGCTGAAGATGCCACCTGGTGCTTAGTTACTGGTGCTAACTAATACCAGGGAGAATTCTGTGTTGGTTGGTGCTTAGGTTCTAGAAAAGAATGAAATTCCTCAGTATGGTAAAAATTTGGAAGTAAATTAAGCAAGCAAGCAAGTCGGCTTTTCACCAGTTCTGAGTGTGCAGCATAGGAATGTGCTTACCCAAAATGTGTGGGAGCAATGGGAATAGGCAGGCACTCACCTGGGAGGGAGCAGGACAAAACACCCAGCTGACTTTTCCATAAGGCCTTGCAGAGAATTTCCCAATCAAATGAAAACCTGAGTAAAAAAAAAAAAAAATCAAATGAAAATGTGGTAAGTAAACAAAAATTTTACAAAAGGGTAAAAGTGTTTCTGTGGAATAAGATTTTTTGCTTACTCTAAACTTCAGAGGAGGTACAGACTAAAAAAGAAGTGCCAAAAGCAGTAACTGAAGAGCTGTCACTGTGCTGCAGTTAAGGACACACACCCACAAGTTCCCCCTAGCAACATCTCCTTTTCTGCTGAAAAACACCATAATTCACAATTCCTCTGTGCAAGTGCCAGCCTACCCAGAACTGACAACTCAAACGTGCAAAACACAAAAAAGGGATCAGTAAATACTTCAGTCCTGTATTTGGAGAGCTCCACTATGCATTCAAGACCAATTAAATACTTTGAAAACTCAGTGAGTACCTGCAAGAGTTATGTCTGCTAAGCCCATCAAGTCTGCAAAACTTGCACAGAAGAATCACAGAGGAATGTTTCAAGGGAAAGCTCAACACATAGATGTAATTTTATGCTTTGGAACACATAGGAAATTCCAGAAATCATTGAATGAAATCTGAATGTCTTGCTGAAAGATGTGCATTAAGCAAATATAAACCATGGAAAAAGTAGTGCCTTGGAAGAAATAAACAAATGATATATAGCATCAGACTAAACAGGCTAGTGGAAGGCCAAGATAGAACAGCTATCTCTGAAATCACTAAGAAGTAATCATAAAGAAACACTTGAAATAATAAATAAAATAGAAGAAACAGTTATTTTCCCCTACCACTCATGTCTGAAGCAGAGCAGAGCAGCCTAGAGCTGGATGTTTAATTTTCCTTTAACCTCTTCATGCTGACAGTAAAAGATGCTATACTGTGTCCACTGTACCTGGTCATCAAGAAATTGCCTCTGTACAAGGATTCCTCACGTGCACAGAGCTGAGGGAATTAGGCTGCTCCTCCCAAACTGCACTGGATAAGACAGACGGGGTGTCTGAGGAACCACCACACTCCTGCCCCTGATAGTGAGGTGATCCCCAATTTTGGAACAAGCCTGGCATGCACCAAAACTGCCAATTCTCAAATGACACTGAATATGGTGCATTCCATCCTAACCTGATCCAAATTTCAGGTTGGCTTTCCTGACACCAGCAGCTCATCAAGACATCTGTGCTAGCCAGATATTTCACCTCCTGTGTGAGGAAGGAAAACTAAACAAAGTAAAACTAGCTGACATCAGGAAAATTGAGAAGCTGTAACTCATACAGAATTGGCCCAGAAATAATCAGATTCCTCACTCCTTTATTTGTTCCTGGACCAGATCCATTCTGTCCAGATAAACTCCTCCTCAGTGCACTGCACAGCTCTGGTGTAATGAAGTGATGGGTCATGCTGGCGCTATCGCATCCAGGATTTATGAGGAGACATTATCACCTCAAATAGGGAATTGGAGGGGGCAGAGAGATTGTGGCTCTGCAAACAAGTCTTTAAGGCATGTTTGGGTGGGTGGGATGCAATCAATCAGATTAAGGTGCTGTGCATGGGTCTGTCTCCAATGACCTCAGAGAATTCCAGCGTACATTGGTACAGGATCTGTTGGTTAGGAATTCATTAACCATGCACATCTACTAGCAAAAGCAGGCACACCTCCTACAGGTAATTCAGCATATTTCCTCTCCTGTCCCGAGAGTAAAATGTCCAGTGCTGATACTGAAGCTGCCCTCCCTGCTGGTCCCCTTTTGTCTCTGTTTGGCATGTTACTTGCATTCTCCATTCAGCAGCAGCTGTGCAAAGCTGGTCAAACACTCCAAGTTGTTTGGCAAAGTTTTCCTAAGGCTTTTCATCTCCCTGTTTTCCCATGAGGTACCCAAACACAAGTCATCTCTGCTGGCTTTTGGAGCACATTAATTCTGAGCACAGCATCACAACTGGCAGGTAATCAGTTAGCTGGAGGTTAAAGTGCAGCATTTTTCCCTAACAAGGGCAACAAAAAGGTGGGAAAGATATTTCTGATTTAGAACGTTTTTATTTAGGTAATATATTTCCTAGAGGCACACCTTTAAAGCCAGCTCATGGGCAATTCCACTAGATGCAATCTGAAAAGCCTCTGGAGGTGGAGGAAAGCTAATCAAAGCAGAATGTCTGATTTATCACTTCAGAAATGCAAGGTGGGGGCATAAAAAACTGCAGCCTCAAGGCTTTGGGCCCTGAAGCACTGCACCACCCTGGATCCATGATGACAGAAAGAGGAATCCTCCAGCTAACATCACTCACACTTATCCTCAGACTCAGGGAGATGTTACTGTGAGGGCACAAGGAGGAAACAGAGCAAAAGAGCAAAGGGAGGAATGCAGGGGCTCTGGAGCACTCAGTTGGCAGCATGACACAGGAAAAGGGGTTTGGGGGTCTGACCACACACAGTTTTTGTCACAGTCCCAGTGAAGAGGGAAATAGATCATATCTGCCACATCTTGTAGCCCTGATCTATAGCCAGCTAATTGGTAACAGGAGTTTTATGTAAAGATGAACTCGGTGGAATATTTTAACATGAATATCTCTCAAATAATTTATTTGATTTTGAGCTATCTCCTAGGAAACAGTCCATTTGTGTCAGCATTAAGGAGTAGGATGCCATGCATAGTTAGGAATGCCTGTTAACCTCCACCCCTGAAATGCTCATCCCTACAAGACAGGAGGAGAAAAGGCGGAACAGGACTCAGTCTCAAGGGACCATCAGTGGGAGCCTGGCTCCTATTTGTGCTTCAAGAGTTCTCACACCAAATTTATGCCCAAATTCTGTCATGAGGCGTCAGGGCAAGTGGGTGCACAGGTAGCTGAGTGAGGTCAGGAATTAATTTGACACATTATGGCTCCAAATTCCACAATGATTTGTGGATGTGAAAAACTTTCCTACTCTAATCAACAGGAATATTCATGTGCATGAAATTGGATGGGTAAGATCAGGATTAGTTTCCAGAGAAACAAAACAAAGTAAAGGCTGTTATTTATCATAGATATGCTGTTGTTTTTAGAGGGGAAAAAAAAAGAAGAAAAATTTGAATTATAGCCATTTGATGGGTAGTATTGCAGTAGACAGGTTAGTCCTTGTAATCTTCTGGCACCATCAGCAGAGGACTAAATCAAATATGTTTTTACTCACCTTATGTATCTATTAATGCAATCCATTGCAATGGTTATACAATATTTATGTTTGTGTGAATTACTGCATATTTAATTCTCTTTTGAAAACTAGGATAGTTGAAATAGTACAGGATTGCTTTTTATCTGATGGAGCTTTAATCTTTTGCTTATCATGTTTTCACCTGAACTGTTGTTCTAAAAATTAAATAAATGAGGTTTTGGTGAGAAGAAATAGCACTCACCACACTGAGTAACATTTTTAACATACTCATACTCATGCTCATACTGTAGTCAAAGTAGTCAAATTCCACTCTTTAGAAAGTAAAGATAACCACTTGGAGAAGTCAGGAAAGACTTTCTTCTCTACTTATAAGAATAAACATAGTCTGTAGCCTTTCTCAGTTAGTCGTATCCATCATGGCACTCTCAATTTGGTACAAAGTATTTCAGAGAAAATAGATCAGATTTCTCTAAATCAGAATATGCCTGCTGCTGCACCCTAGAACTGAGATTGCAACTCAGCATCTTGTTCCACTCTGCAGTGAAGAACCCTCTGAAGGTTAGATTGGAGGACAAAATCTGCAAACAGACTTTGAGGGAAAATTACCTGCCACTTTTTAGGTGCCCACCATTTCTAGGGTGCAGGTGAATGGTTTGCAGCTTCTGTGACTAAAAAGCTTTGTTCCTCAACCTTGCTCCCAAAGAAATCTTGTTGCATGTATGTGGTTTGGTCCTGGGTCCAGGAAGAAAAGAGAGACATCAAGAAAGTCCAGGAAGACATCAGCATGATTCACAATTCAGTTTTCAGAATCAGTGGATATTTTTCTTTGCTTATTCCATATAGGAGCAGTCAAATGGAGAACTTAGAATGACCTTAAAAAACTGAAAAGAGAAGCAGGAGATAACTCTTAATGCTGCTGTGCCATAATCCATGCTACCCCGAACTGTTCTCCAAGGCAAGAAACAGAAAAACCCTATCAAGGAAACAGTGCCATAAAACAGAAAAACAAAGTATAAACAGAAAAATAAAACCAGACGCCAATGTGTACCCAAAGGAACTATTAAAAGCAAAATGCTTGTCAGTATAGGATGCTCCACTGCACACATCTGGTGCGCTCAGCAATACAGAACATTTCTTTAATTGCTACACCTGAGACCAAGAGCAAGAAATAACTCTAGACACTGATCTCAATGTATTTGGAGACAGGTAGAGATGAGTAGCAGCATGAGGATTTCATTGACGATAATCAAGCAGTTATGCATTACTGCACTGAACAGACACGCTCAGGATAGACCTATGCCTCTATAATTTGATGTCTGTTTTTTAAATCCTTCTGGTGCCAGACATTGCAGAGATAACTGTGATAAGCCTCCCCTGTGGTGTATATCATCCAGTACTTTTTGCACCGTCCAAGATGTCAGTACAGCAATATCCAGTGGAAAAGGCAATGGACGAGATGTCAGAGCAGCTGGACTGACTCCAGTCTGTTGCTTCTCATGGGTTGTCACGAGTCACTGAACTTTTCTGTTCCTGTTTTATTTACTCAGACTCTAAGTACTGGCTACATGTTTAGACAGCACCTTGTATGATGGATCCCCGTTTTCTCTCAGGCCCTCAGAAATGTGTAAGTCAGCATTATTCACATTTCGTGACTTAGACTTTTCCTCACAACAAACAGTGAAGCCTGTGTGTTTATCGAGAGGAAAGGATTCAAAGGCACAGCACATGAAAGAACATAACTAACACTTGCTCTGAGAAGCTGTTTGGTGTTTCTAAACTGGAAAATGAAATTGCTCAACAAGCCCTCTTGCTCAGGACTTCACCTCTCAATAGGATGGTGAGAGGTTCCTCGCCATTTTTGTAAGTGGTGTGAGACCATGCAAAGGGTGGGTTAAATACTGATGTTAAAATGTTCACACCCTTATTAGAAATAGTATGTTTTGCTCTGAATCCAAACTGAATATTCTAAAATTGCTTTTAATAATTTCTTTCAGAGTACCATCAAGGATTTCCTTTTCTTGCCTCAATTTGCTATAGCTTGTCCTTTGTGAACAGTGGCACATCATTGCCAGCTGTCATTATTACCTATGCATTTCTCAACTGGATTTCCTGTAGACCTGGTGACCCAGTACTCCATTTACCCAAAATATTCAGTTCTCAGCCCTGCCATTTCCCAGATCAGGAATGACATAATCATGAACTACATTAACTACCTCAGAGCATTCTCATCATTCACAAAATGAAATTTTAGTCATTTGTTGCCTTACAGCACACTTGAGGTCAGTCAAACATATTAGTTCAGGTGGGTACCCAGGTGTATATTATACATGATTATACAATTATAATCACGTCCTTAGGACTGACCAATGCTAAATACAGGATACAGATGTGTCATTAAAAGAGTAACTGTGTTTTAGCAAATCCAAGTCTTTTCAAATAGTGTCTTTTCCATACAATTTGCCCTGCCTTGACACAATTCATTTAAAAGAAGAAATAATTGAATTAAAAGTTATATGGAATGTGTTTTTTTAACACAACAGAATATTGCCCAAGTATGGTGGCCCATTGGTCCAGTGAATAGCAGTGCAGCTGAGGACAGGACTGTGGGAAGAGCTCAACAACCAAAGCCATCAGTCCTGCCTGTCGTGATCAGACCGCAATTTCTGCTGAGTGTTGGGATCAGTTTCCTGATTTCATCTTTTATAGAGCACAAGCAGAACACGATATCTACAGCTCCTTTCCTGAAGACCACTGGCTCTTTTTATCTGCATCCTCTATGGACAATGTCAAAAGATGTTACCTCAAAATTGTTAAATTAAGATCAAGCCTGAGGCTTGCTGATCCCTCTTCCTTTTGATGCTCAGGGGAGCTGGATATATATTGAATGTCTGATTTGGTTTGTAGAGAATGTAATGTTTTTTTAACCAAGCTGGAATTTTGACCCAGAAATGAAAACCAAAACACATTAATTATCTTGCAATGTGCTCTAATGCTAAATCAGAATAGATGATGTTCAAACTGTAAAAAAAAACCAAACTAAACTGAAACAAGAATACTCACAACACTCAAAATCCCAACTATATTGGTCCTGAAAGACTTTCTTATGATAGTTGTTACACACCAATATATTTCCATAGGTACATATAGAACATACATTTACTATGCCATTAAGAGTTAATAAGGAATGCACGTACACTGACGTATTTCCTTTTTTCCCCCATCTTTAAGAAACTCCTGAGTCATTGAACTTCCAGATCACATTTATCTTTCTCTTTCATGAAAGATTCCCCTATACAAAGATTTGTGACTAGTTCAATGACAGGAAAATTTTTTTTTCCTGTTTAGAAATATCTCAAACATGAATTTCAGGCTGCAAATACCTTTTCATTGTGCAACTGCCTTTTCCTCAAAATTACGTTAAACTTATTTAAGGCTTCTATTTCAATTTAATTTAAAATAGATTTCCTGAAGATTAAAAACCTTTGGATTTTCTTTTTGGCCCTCCCCTTGTTCCTACTTCCCATGTAATGATGCCATAATGATTCACTATTTGATGTTCTCTGGCTTCAGACTTATAGTATAATTGCCTAATTTCTTATGAGAAAGGCAGATAAGAAAATATTTCAAGAGGCTTGTAAATAACTGACAAGGACCACAAGACTGCAGTTATTTTAAATTTATATCTGAAATGCTTTGCTGTGCCAGCTGAAATACTGTGTTTGTATAGTTGTTCTGTGCAGCCTGTATCATTTATCACTCAGTAACCAGCATGAACTGTACATCCTGCTTTAAAACCTCAAAGTATTTTCCTAGTTACCATTACAGCAAGGTATTATATACTTCTGGAGAACCCATAGTGGAGTAATAAATTGCATGACTTTGAGTAAAAGACTCCTCTTTGATTTAACTCTAACCAGTCTTACCAACTAGAAGTTTCCAGTCCTGCATGGTTTCTTGGCTTTCCTGTGCCAAATGAGCCAGATTTTGATCTCCTCCAGATTTCAGCCTCCTGAAAGTAGTTTTCTTAGCTATATTTTATTGCACTCCTGAAAAATAATTAAAGAAAAAAAAAACTTAAACTCTGTCTTGAAAGCTGAACTTGCAATATCTTTCCATCCTGGCATTTAACTCTAAGAGGGAATATGGGTAATCCAATATATCCAGCTCCCAGCATCATGCTGCTGCTCACATAATGAATGTTACAGGTGGTGGTGCTTATGCTAATAAGGAAGTTAATGAGAAAAGCCAGGCTGCTTCATGCTTTGTAAGAAAGAGAATGAAACCCTATGTTTAGCAACTGGGCAAAATCAAACATTAGAAAGCATGGGTACAATACAAACAAGATAAAATTCAAGAAAGGAGAAGGAAACTATCATAACTAGAAACAGCAATGAGTAGTGTCAGACATTGCTGTTGTGTAATGCTGCCTTGTTTACATGATTTATTTTAATATTGTTAATTACTTCCTGAAAAATGGCTGAAATAAGGATTTAAAAATAGGGTGAACACGTGGAGAGAGGAAAGATCAGAAATCCAGAATAACTTGAGTTTAGATGGGTGTCTACAGATCTCTGCCTTGTTCATAGGTGAAAACTTCAGGCCTTGTAAAAGGATTCAAATGTAAAAAAGATCCCAGCAAGATTTTAGTCACAGCAGATAGGTAATTCTTTACTGGGAGAATGGTGAGGCTCTGGCACAGGTTTCCCAGAAAACCCAAGGACCAGTGGATGGCCAATACCTGGAAGTGTTCAAGGCCAGCTTGGATGGGGCTTTGAGCAACCTGGTTTAGCGGAAGATGTCCCTGCCCATGGCAGGGTCTTCAGGTTTCTTCCAACACAAACCCTTCTATGCTTCTGAGATCACACAAGTGAGAACCTTTGGTATTTTAGGTTCAGTCCAGTCTGTCTTTACTTCTGTATCTGCAGAGCTTTGCTTTGCAAACAGTGATAACCAAGTAAAAGTGAAGGACGTGCAGGTAAGACAAATTTCTCCAGTTACCTACACTCACAGCTGTGCAGAGGTGAAATGAAATTGTTTGCATCATTTCCAGCTTTGGGAGAGCCCCCTTTCCCTCCCTCTCCCCATAAAAAGCAATATAATCCTTTAAGTGGAACCATGGTTAGAACCTACCCAAACACCACACAGACAGGTTTTGTTCTGACACATGTGGTGGTGTACTATTTATTCTCTTTCTGACTATAATTAATTGTAGCTAAGCACTTGACATTCCTCTCTGAGAACACTTCTGGTTTGGCAAAAGTTCAGGGAGAGTTAAAGAACCACCTCCCAGAGCTATTCTAACCTGGAGAAAAAAAAAAGAGGATGGGCAGGCAGGTTGAAACACATGGATTAATTGGTGCTAAAGTAAATTAGTATATCTAGAGAGAAGAGTAGAATAAAAGGAGGGGGCTGTAAGCCTGGATAGGCCTTGAACTGCTCTAAGAAAGGATCTTAGAGGCATTCCTTTGTTTCCTACTTTATCATTAATTATTGCTGGTGTTTTGCAAACATAGGCATGTGCACACCAGGTAATGCAGAAGTGTTCTGGAGACCCCCAAGGCAGATAGATGAGGAAACCAGCACGTCTGCACAGAGCAGTGCTGGCCACAGACCAACCACTTCAGCTCCCCAAAAGAGCATCACCTCATGGAGACATCTCACTTGGGTACAGCACCAGATCCAGACCTGCAGCACCCAGGCAGTGTTTAGATCATGTCTTCCCACAGAGAAACAAAGTGTGGGATGGAGACAGAGAAGTCACTGAATAGAAGAGCACAAACACATTTCTTCAAAGTATGGAAAATAAACATCCACCACGTTAGATTGCCTTGATGTTTCTGGGCCTGTTTTACAAAGGAATATTCTTGAAAATCAAATTCAGTGTCTGAGATGGATTATTTTGTTCTAGTTGACAGTCTGTGAGCATCTTAAATACTGCCCATGAGAGGAATAACCACATGGAGGAAGATCCACTGCTCCATGGACAGACCTCAGTTTCAGTCTCCTCACACAAAATGCGTCAGTGTGCATGGTCACAAATGGGCAGGGAGGCAGGCTTACTATCTAAAACTCTGTAGATCTCAGCAAAAGCCCAGACCAAACTGACTGCAATGGTGCTGCTTCCCAGCCTGAGAGCCTCACTGCACACCAGGACCAAGGTGACAGTCACTGATGCAGATGTGGCCAACACAGGCTCAACAGAGCCAGGACCTGGGGTTTTTTTGTTCAGCAGTAGTTTCCACTGCTCTCTTTGGGAACTTGGGGGAAGGAAGCTCAGATAGCATCAGCAGATTCTGCCAGGCTCTTGGTGGATTGGTTTGTGTGTATCCCATGAACAGCCTCAGCTTTGGTACCGGTGCTGAAAGAAGATACCAGGATGTGGCTCCCAAAGGAAGATCCCTGGGGCTGCTCATACCTCACCCCATCCCATCAGGGATTTCCAGAGGACATGAAGTTCCTGAGAAGAAGGAACAAGTCTCACAGCCTTTTCCACTTAAAAATAAACCCATTAAATGAGAGGAAGCAGGGCAGGTGGCTCATTTCCCGAGCCCTGCGACGCTGATTGCAGGGCGAGTCCGGGCTCTGATTCACTGGCCAGGCTGGGACCATTGTCCCAGACAGCCATGCACAGGAAGGAGGGCCCAGTCCCAGCACCTGGGGCCAGCACACTGGCACAGCACCACACCCTGGCACCCCAAACCCAGGTGGGACTCACAGATCCCTGTGCACAGCCAAGCAACTTTCCCCTTCTTTGCTTTCCTCTCCTGATGTTTGAGTACCTGCTGCACTAGCACAGCACCGAGCTGCTGCTTCCAACAGACCCCAGATACTCCCAGGAAAAAATAAAAAATAATCACACCCTGCACATTTAGTACACATCTGAGAAATCACTGACATTTTCCTCTTCCGTGGTTCCGGTTAAAAGAGCAAGCATCAAACTGGAAAGACAAATCACTTCCCATCCCAGATACCGTACTTGGTGATGAGCTTATCTAGAAAGCCATGCCAGGAACACTGTGAGCAGGAAAGCACTGATTGACAGCTAAGCCCTTCCTCCCAATTTAAGACATTTTATGTCCTCCTGGGTCCTTCTTTAAAAGAGCCTTTCCCTTCTCTCGTGCTCCCTGTTCTCTGTGGCAGTGGCTGCTAAATTAAGATGACAATATGGATTGATGAGGCTGAATCTGCCTCCAGCCTGGCTCATCTCTTTCCTTGATGCTGCGATGAAGTCACTGTCCCATGTCTGGCACCCCAGTGTGCATCCAAGGAACAGCTGAAGTCGTCATAAATCCAGGCTTTCCCAGCAAGATCAAGGAGGAGGAGGGCCCTCAGAGGCCTCCACTGAGGCAGGGGAAGCTGTAACAAGTGTGTGAAAATTAACTGGATTCATGTTTTCATTTGATACTGCTACACATATGGGCAGAGGCAGCCCTGCACTCGCTTGGGTCCCATCAGATGCGAAGGGTTTGCAGCTGGGAAGTCCCTTCTGTTTGTGTCACCCAGCCTGAGTTCCACTCCTCAGCACTCAAAACACAGCTCCCAGCCCAGGCTGCCTCACTTCCAGATGGGGCTGATAAAGCAAATGCTTGCACCTGTGTTGTGCAGACATGTATATCCAGAGATTTTGCTGACCACTGTGAAAACAAAGCCTCTAACACATGGATTCAATGAAAATAGGATGGGCAAAGCTCTGCCCCCACGCGCTTGTAGAGCTCAGGAGGAATGAGATGTGTTCATCCTGCTGGTTTAGGATGTCACACATCACTTTCTAGTAGCAAACATGGGCTGAGCATTCCTTGCTCCTCGCTAATGGCATTACCCCATCTGCCTCCTGGGAGCAGCTCATCCCTTCTGTGCCCAGCACCAGGGAAAGGCTGGCTGCAGGTGCACCACTGCTCTCTCTGCAGAGGGAAAGCAGCAGCAGCTTAACTCCTTTCTCCCCACTGTCAGAAAACACAATTGCATCACTGAAAAAGTTACATTTGTCAAATTGGCATTACACTTGTCAAATTGCAAAGTAGCTCATAAACCGAGGCCAAGGATTGTGATTCCTCTGAGCCTTCTGGTACTCACTCTGACTCTGTCAATTTAATACCCCAGCAGAACAAGGCTCCTCTCCTCTGTTCTTGTCTGAGGATTGAGACTAGATTAATTAAAGTGACTACTTTAATCTTGGAGTTTATGAGTGAAAACTGAGCATACTAAAATGGAGAAATGTGCTTTTTCTCCTTAGTATTTTTCATATTTCCCAGGAAAATGTCTAAACTGATGACAGCACAATATCTCTTCCTTTAGTTCTGGCCTTACCTTTTCTGTTTTCTGTAAATGAAAAAGGGGAGGGAAAGGTTCAGATTTGCTAGACTTCAAAATTAAATATGTCACCACATAGCTATATGCAGAAACAGTCACAAGCTGTCATCAGTTTCCTGTTCTGGGGGATTAATAATCTTTATATAAGAGTTTCAGTATTTTTACCATCTTATTAGGGAAAAACCACAAGCATTAAACTTCTGCACTAGGTGCTAATTCTTTGACACTTTGGGCTTTTTGTCTGTTTTTAAACAGAAAGTATTTGCCCTTCATTCGGGGTGGGGGGGAAAAAAATATCTTTACCTGGAAATCACCCTCTGTGCAATTACCTGTAAAGACTTCAAATGAAGCAAGGCTTCATTACTTTGGAGAAGATTTTCATGTGAACATAGCTCTCCTCACAGGGGGCTGCCAGCTTTGTTATTAATGGCTGCTCCCTCACATTCTTTTCTTTTGACTGTTGCACTATTGCTGCTGCTGTGGAGCAGGTCTTGCCCAAGGGGGAAGAGCTGGTGCTTTTGAGGGGGTGGCTGGGTGGTGGCAGTGAGGAGCCAGGTCATTCATTACCCACCAGGTCTACCCAAAAACAATAATTCACAACTTGCAGAATGCAATCAAGTGCATTCCTCTCCAGGGTGATTAAAGAAATATTCAATTTGGTGCAACTGAGGTACAAAAGCTCTCTGTATCCTTCCTCTGCCAAGCATAGAAGAATACAAAAACTCCCATATGCCAA